TATATATAATATATATATGTATATATATAGATATGTGTGCGGTGAAGTGTTTTAAAGTAGGTGGAGGGCGGCCGGACCAGGTAGTATACAAGTTCTGTTTATGACATCTTCTGCCCTATTCAGAAACCCCACAGGCGCTCACCATGGTAATGCAGACTTGACGGCCCGGGCCCTCCGGGCAGGGAGGTAGTGTAAAATGTCTGCTTAGATGGAGAAACAGCCGCATGTTATGTATGTGTATAAAGGAGGCATTCTCACATGTTCACGTCATGTTTTTGTTCTTTCTTGGCAGATAGCTGGGGTCCCTCGAGTGTATAGAGTCTTGGGGCAGCTTCATCTGTTCTTTCAGGGAGCCCTGGACGAGACTGACCCTCAACGGCCGCATGTGTTGCTGGCAAACTACCTGAGCAGCCTGGCACCGAGCTGTGGGTCGAGCATTCTATTTTCCCGGCTGGTGGGTTTTCCCGCAAACGAACCGAGGCTTCAACAACTGCCTTCGAGCCACAAGCCTCTATGCCGCCGATGCCCCGAGCATTGAGCCACATCCCCTTGTCCACGAATTTGCCGGCTTCGGTCGCACAAGGTCTGCTGCCGTAACCCCTGCGAGAGCTTGCTTGCGTCCCTGGAAAGAGAGGTGCGAGATCCCGCAAGCTTCAAGTCTTGAAGCGTGGAGCCTTATTCGCCAGGTCGGCGCACCCTATGCGACCCCGGACCAGCTCGCTGCGTTGGTGGCGAACCTGTCCACTGACACTATGCTTCTCGGCGAGTCTGGGCTGTGTGGGCTCTTCAACTCAGCGATGCTGTGACAGGGCCAAGCGCTCGAGCCCCGAGAAGTTCGAGGTGGGAGACTGTGGTGTACGCGGGACACAGGCCGGATATGGCAGCGTAGCATTCTGAAGCTGTGCGCCAGGCAAAGCTCCTGGAGCGCTTGCGCTCCATCGGAAACGACGAGGGCCAGGCAAAAGTGGGGTCGGGACTCATGGACATGATCATGACAATTCAAGCAAACACCCGTGGGCTGAGCCAGGTGCCGCTGCATGGACGCCTTTTTGCTCAGTGGATGCGGCCTGGCAGAAGAGGGGCGAATAGACGATAGGGCGTCACTGCATCCCTCTCCGAGGCACCACGCCTTTCCCCGTGAGTGTCCATACCCGCATGCTGCTGGCGTTGGCGACTCGAAGCCACAGCAAATTTGGAGGGCACCATGTTTCCTTGTGACGTGCTTCTCAGACGACGAATCCGCAGACGCCCGTCGACGACTCAGAGCTTGTAAGGGCCACAATGATGGTGTTTCGAAGCCACAGGCAAGACTCTGTCCGCAGGACGAATGGATGAAGGCAATGGGGAAAAGCACCGCCATATCTGAGGAGCAGAAGCAGGAGATTGTTTTTCAGCGGCAGCATCAGGGATGTGCGTACCCTTATCGGGCTTCAGATCTCTTGGTGCAACGTCCTGGTAAGGTTGCGGCATACTGCCCCTCGGACCCGGAAGCTCATCAGGCCTGCTGCAAGAGTCTTGCGACTTGCGAGTATTGCGCAAAGCCGCAAAGACTTTGCCCAGAGCGAGGCAGCGAAGGAGTGCCACGTGCAGTCCTTGTGCCATCCACTCTTTTCGCCAGTCGCAGTGCGTAGCTCAATGAGGCCGAGACGGCGGAGCTTCCCTGGAGTGATCGGGAGGCAGCTGTAAAACTTGTACTTCTCAAGTTTTGAAGCGCAAGAGGCCTCCTCCTTGTGAACAGTCTTCTGATGTTGCGAGCTGACTGCCACTACTCTCCGACCGCGCACTACCGCCGACATTTGCTTTTTCGTTTGGTTTCAGTCCTCGGTCTTGGTATTGAGTCTCTTGTCCCTGGGGGTTTCCGTGGTCGGAGCTGAGTTTGGGATTTGGGATGGGGTGAGGGGGGGTTGGGATGACGACATGGCGATGACAACATGGTGATGACGACATGACGATGATAACCTGCAGATGTCGAGATGACGATGCCATCATGGTGCCGATGACGATGACGATGATGATGAAGCAGCAGAAGAAGATGATGATATCAGGGTGATGAGGCATGAATAATAAGAAATAATAAGAAGGAGAAGCAGGAGAACAAGAATAATAATATGGTGATGATGTTGATGAGTATGAAATAATGATGGCGCGGATGAGCTGTACCGAGTGCTGCAACTACAAGTGCATTCGCTGCGCTGCTGCCAGCTCACCATGGAACCCAGGATTTTCGTGTTGTTTTCAAGACAACCTCAAGTTATTGCATGCTTTCTTCGTTCTGGTCATGCCAAAACCTTGCTTTGCAACATCTGCGCGCGCGCGCGTACTTCCAAGCTAAAAGTGCGTGCGAAGACAACACGTTCCATGTCATGTGGTCCTGTTGCGTAAGAGCAACATCCTCGGTATTTGCTGTGCGTTCGAGCTCTTGCCACAACTTCTGTTGTACTTCCACCTGGTCTCCGGGACACCCCTAGGAACTTGCAGAGCGAGTTAGTGCTATCTCTGTTGAGAAAGCTGTCTTTGATCGAAATGCGGGGCAGAAGTCTTGTAGGAGCTGCTGGCAGTCCACGCCAGCGTTGCGGCCGAAGCCTCACACCGTGGCTTGCCCGGGCTACGGCCGCAAAACCTGGATTGCCCGCTTGGTGACAAGGCGACCGGCGCGACCAAGACAAAGGAAGCCGACTGCTTCGGCTGGCTTTGCTTGGCACGACGCCTCGCCGGACTCTTGTCCTGTGACATAAGCGGCTTCAACTGTTTTTGCCCTATGCGAAGGTCCCAGGCTTGGCGATTCTACTCTGGCACCGCAAACTGGCAAAGCTTCGACACGGTCTTCTCCTCGATTCTCGGCCCTTAGAAGCCTTGGGAGAACCGTTGGCGACCACTTAGCAGCAGCAGAGGGCTTACTTGAGGCGATTTAGTGATGTTGGTGATGGTAATGACGATGACAGCGGAAGATCTTCTTATGGTGCTTGCGTGATGCTGCTGGTAGGTGGCGGTGCGGGTGCAGCTGCACATGCTGCTGTGGTTGGTGATTGCGACGGTGATCACGGGTGGATGACACTGATGAAAGGAGGTTGAGGTGTGGTGTTCTGATTCAGCCACGGATAGTGCTGGCTCAACCAAGGGCTTCTTGTCCTGGATCGGCATTGCTTTGGAGCTGGTCGAGACTCGTCCTGACGCCTCTGAGTCCAACAGACTTGCTGGGAGCCAGACCTGAGCTTTCGCTGGAGCAAGGACTTCCGCGTTGTGGTGGCGTCGGGCCTTCTGTACCTGCTGTGGCAAAAGGCCATGGCGAGATGCCGAAATCAAGATTTTGCTCAGCCTGTCGCAGTTTCCTTGCAGACGAGGCCACCAGTTCCATTGTGGACAAGATTGAGACGAAGACTGAGAAGTGCGAGGTGTAGGGCGCAGAGACAGCAGCCTAGTATTGACATGGTAGATCCGAATCTTTGAGTCACACCCTGCGAAAAAATACCAGCAGGCGAGGCTTTTACACGAAAAGTCTACAGTCTGCAGTCGCTTCCCTGATCTGTTGGCTGGTCACTCTTCTTGTTCTGGGATAGTCCTGCACTGCGCTGACAATGCCGACGTGTTTGGCCTGGGGCTTTCAGCTGGCGGGCAACCCTTCCCACCTCTTTTCCACAAATGCCAGGCCGGAGACGGGAAGATCAAGTCAGGGAGCAGTGTGCTGTTTGGTTGCGTTAGGTTGGCTGCTTTTGGTAACGAGTACCTGGGCTTTGGCCGGCGCCGTGCCTGTCTGGCCCACAGAGCACAGAAGAACTTCCTCACCGCTCACACTTAACTGCGCTGAGGAGCGAGGCCTTCGTTTCATCCTGGATCTCGATGACGTCTGTCAAATGCGGCAAGGCAGGCCGCAGGCCTCTTTCTGTCCCCCCCACTTCCGCACTTCGGAGCGCAGAAGTGAGGTCTCCGTCCCAGCTGTGCCTTCAGCGCTATCCAAGTCCGAGGACAACGGGACCAGGACTCCCGTGCGAGCCGAGGCAGCCGAGACTGCCAGAGTTCAGAGAAGCCTGTTTTAAAGGACCTGGCCCTGCTGATGGACGACGAGGAAAGGAGATCTGCGCAAAGCACCGAAGCTGTTGCCATTATTCTGATCTCTGCATCAGTGCTTCATCGACAGCGGCCACTACTCCCTCAGCAGCACCTTGCGCACCACAGTGCGTTCAGAGGCGATTCTTGGGCCTGTTGTCTAGCGAGCTTCGGCTTGCTAGTGCTTGAGGCTAACAGTGTCGACCTGAACCAGACGCAGCACGGTGAGCTCTGATGCTGCGCAGTAGTCCATTAGTAGTTCTTTACAGGCACGAGCGAGTTGTATAGTTGTCCTTCGGCGCTGTACACGTCTGCGCCTTCAATTGGAGGTCCAGCGGCGTCCGCGCCAGAAAACTAGGAGAAAAAGGAAGGGACCGGGACAGGATGAGCTTTGGTCTCAGACACTGTGCAACCACAGTCGGCATGAACCTTCAAAGGGGAAACCTCGATTAAAGCCCTTCCATGTTCAGTGTCATGTCCGTCTCATGTTTTGCAGCACTGCGTGACTGCGAAACTACCTTAGCTGACAGTGTTGCTGACGCAGGCTCATCTCGCTGTCCTTTCGTCCTCGGCATGCTACTTAGCACAGAATTGCCGCAAATCAGAGCCTTCGGGGTGCGCAGCCCGAGACCGCAACCCTGAAATGATACGGCCAAGTACAACGTTCAGCCAGGTTCCCAGGCCCAGGGAACAAGGTTCAGGGCCCCGTGTCGATGGCGTGTGGCCAGACCCAAACATGCACGCGCGCGCGGTTTTAGGATAAAGGAAGGCGGTTAAGCTTTCGTGTTTGCATCGTGGAGAAAAAAATTCCGCACGTGGCCTGTTAGTTGCGGACAGTGCAGGTCGTGTTGTGTAATTACATGCTACCGTAGCCATTTTGGCTCAAGCGGGATGTACAGACTGTGCCCGTGAGAGCACAAAGAATTCACTAAAAACGTCTGTTGGGCAACCGGTTCCCCTCCAAGCGAGACAAGGTCAGCAGTTGACAAAGAGGAGCCTCCCCGAACAGAGATGAACACGCCACTGCGCAGATAAAAGTGCAAGACACCGATGCCATGCATTTGGGCATGCAGATGGCGCTGCCATGAAGGATTCCGGCAGCATCCGCCTACTGGCAACAGGCGAACTGACGGGTCAGAGATATGGGGAGACACCCTACAAGTTGTACGAGTCCACCGACGGGCTCACGAGAGAGCAGCTTGAGCAAGCTCCCTACTTCTTCGTGTGGCTCCACGGCATGGGCAACGGCCCCATCGCGCCGAAGAACCTGCAAAGGATGCAAGCGAGACTTAAGCACCGGGTGATCTTCATGGCTCCTCAAAGCCCGACCGCGAAGAACGAGCTCCGCTTCGACTGGGGCTGCTGTTACCACAAGACCCAGAACAAGAATCAGCTAGGTTATGTCTTTGGCTCGTTGCATCAGGAGTTTCTTCGCGATTTCTCACAGCAGATCGGCTTTCTGGCCTCGTTGTTTCAAGCTGAGCGTACCCTCGTGATGGGGTACAGCATGGGCGGATTCGGCGCTTTCCAAGTCGGGGGATTCTCCCCAGCCACCTTCGACGCGGTGGTGTCGGTGGCGGGCTACGGCCTCGGGACCCTCGAGGAAGGTGAGGAGACACCCCAGCCAGAAGCACGAGAGCGCTTCGAGCAGTTCCTGGAGCAGGTAGCCACGAAATTGTCAGACGTGCCCATCGTGCTGGCGCTGCACGCACAGAAAGATGGCATGTCAAGCTTCACTGATGTTAGCGCAATCATCGACAAGGTGAAGGAGTCGAGCCAGCAGCATGGAAAAGAGAACGTTGTTGAGTTGCACCAGGTTCCGGATGGAAAAGCTGATTCTGACAAAACGTGGAATAAAAAGACGAAGCAGAAGCGAAGAGGTCACCACTACTTCAACTACACCCTCCTCGACGGATCCAGTGAAGATTTCTTCTGGGCTAAGCTGCGAAGGTTCCTGGCAAAAGCTGAACCCCGCGGCGAGCTTTTTCCTGTCTCAGTCCAAAGTCGGAGACTTCCGTGGAGTGGCCGAGGAGCTGGGCGAATGCCCTCGTGTCCGAAATGCGAGCCAGAGGCGGCTCAGGACGAGGAGATCGAGCCAGAGTTTGAAGTGGAGGGAGACGAGGAAGACCAGGCCGGGGTCTGGACCAAGGAGGAGGAAGATCCTGAACAGATTCGCGGCTGGAAGCTTGAAGACGAGCCTGAGCAGGAGGAGGCCGGCGCACTTGAGGAGATGCCGCAACTCAAAGAGGACGCATGGCCGGGAGCAGAAGGCCCTGAAAACCTGTCCTGGAAAGCGGCCTCAAGAGGCCCCCGTCCTCGCGTTGCGCCCTACTGAGCCGTTGCAAGACCAAGAGCAGCGAAGAAAAAAAGCCTCGCCTGCTTTGTCGAGAGTGAGTGCTCAAAAAAACTACGCACATGCTACTGCAATGTCTTTGGTCAGACAGATTGCATCTGCGAAGGGACATTCAACCCAACTGCATGCTGTTTCTGCAACTGATGCTGGCATCTTTGCCAGGGCTCGGCTTCGAGGGAAGTGATGTAGATTCAGCAAGCAGCAGTGAGCAGTATGGGGGCGTCCCAGTCTCATTCCTGTGGGTGGCAGAGGCGGGGCCCACTGCTGTGTCGAGCAGTCATGTCACGCATGCTACTGGTTCAGGAAATGCTGCGTGACCGCTTATCCTGACGACTCCCTGGGGGAGTTTGTGGACACCATGCAAGCTGACGTGCAGGACATCCTGCTTAAATGATGAAGCTTGCCTTGTGGGCCTTGCCCTCGCTTGTCCTTTTCCCTCGCTGTGCAGGTTGGTTTCGTGCAGGTTCCAGGTCCGGCACAGCAGTGGCTGCCACCCATCAGCCAGGACCTGTGGGGTGCATTCATCTTTCTACTTGTATATCTGCTAGTCTGCCAGCTGTTTTGACCGTTGTCTTCCGTGCCTATAGGCGCAAGAAGGCCGCCTGAAGCTTCTGCCCAAGAATAAAGAAACTTTCCCCATGTAGGCCCTGGAGTCACTCGCATAGTACACGATTGGCTGAGCAGGAATCTGCGGAATCTACCAGCAGCTAGCACCGGCTGATTCTGCATGAATTGCAGGAAGACCTTCGAAGACTCCAGATCCAGCAGGAAGAAACGCATCGTCAGCAAATGTCCGCCGCCCCAAAAACTTACGCAGACATCGCTGTGTCGCTGGGCATTTATCTTGCGAGGCTTCAACAGCATCTTCAACAACAACGCCACCGAGATATGCTGACAAAGCGAATGCGTGAATCAGAGAAGCCCGAGAGCCAAGACGTTTGCCGCAGATCCTGTGCTTGCATTCAGCTTGAGTCGCTGAGGCTTGCCATGCAAATGCAGCGGGGAACCCAGACATAAGATGCTTCCTCAACCTGAGTCCACAGGATTGGGAGCATGCAGCAGCAAGAAGTTCAGGCTCTTTCAGACCGTAAATGAAAGTCGGTTCTTTGTGCATCATCGACTCCCAATTAGTGCCCGACTGGACGGTTCGTGTTTGCGCACCGTGTTCCTTCGAGAGGCACCTGCGCGAGCTGCAAGAGCAGCAACGTCGCACATCTGGAGAGTGTGATGGTGGGCATCCAACGCTGATGCAGCACATCTATCACACCAGGTGCCTGTTTGTGAATCCTTGATGTCTCTGCAGTTGCCGCACGCAGCATGTTGAACTGCATGGCAGTTTGCCGACAAGCTCATGGGTCGATGGAACTGGCTCAAATCACCAAGTTGCCGGCCCTTCGTCTCGAAGGTCCTCGTGTCCCATGGAGCTTGCGCTGGCTGCGAGTTGCCAGTTCCAGAGCGGAAGAGCTTTTGCCCGAACCTGTGTCGGCAGAAGGTGAGCCCGCAATTCGATCACCGACTCGGGCACATCACATGGGGTTCCGGTTTGACCCGTAGACGTAGCACTAGTTACTGGTTTCGATACGAAAAGCACTTTCGGTTCATCTCTTGATGTGTGGGTCTATTCTGAGTAGGCTTTTGAGCGCATGTGGCCCGAGCTTGATTAGACTGACAGTGCTCGTTAACCCATAAGCGGTGATGACAGATGATTCGTGCTTAGAGACTTCGAGAAAATGGGACACCACGGCCTGACTCGTGCATCGGTGCAGTGCTACGATGCCTCGGTTTCCAGAATCAGGCGAACGCCTCATCAAACTCCCGCCGTTTATGCTGCACAGGCCTGAGCCGAAACTTGGAAGGGGGCTAAGATGGGTACAGGGGTGAGGCGGTCACAGACTGGTCACTGAGGGCCACGGCCTGCCGATGTCTCAAGGCCGGTGCTGCGTAATGTTTGCATAGGCATGGCCAAATCTCAGCAACCTGCTGAAATGCACGGGACAGAACACGGAATGGAGAGATCGAAAAACCACGAGAGAAGGACATGAAAACAACAAGAGCTTGAGGGGCCTGCGATCGCTGCCTGCGAGGGAAGGGACCGGGGTCCCTCACCACCAGCAAGACCAGACCGGAGGACGAGCCAGCGTCTTAGATTAGCTCTTCAAGACTCTCTTGGTGTCATGTGCAGATGACTGCAGTCTGGAGTCCAAGAGGTTGACTGTGACCGAGCTACCCATCGTAATGTTCGCTGATGACTGACTTAGTCTTCAGTGCAAAGGGCAGTTTCACCCCTAGGAAACCTTCGCCCGCTGGCTACCGCTTCAGCGACATGTGTTTCACGCGGCTGGCAGCAACGACTCCTTCAGCCGTGCTGTGGCCGCCGTGCCGTAGCAACAAATGTGGCACATGATCTGCAGCTGAGTGCGTGGAGGAAATGGTCCGTTGTTGCAAATCAAGGTCGGTTTGAACCCTGATCTAATATTATGAGCGTGCTACGAATCTATGGCTGGCTTGAACTATTCAAAGCGAGGCTGCCAAGACGGGGCGAAAACAGTGTGACATCCGTGGCAAATACCTCTGGTTCCGGCTTGACAGCACCTGGGATCTAAACCGCCTTCTGTCGCAAAGGGGATTGATTTCCGATATATATCCTGGCTTTGGCTACGAGCAGGCTTGGAGCCAGATTTAATCAGGTTTGGGACGTGGAGAAATCTAATCCAAGTGTATTTAATTATTCAGGAAGTACATTCTGGGAATGCAGGTGAATAGACTTGCAGCGTCAGCTGCATACTACGCTATACCCAGACTTCAGACGGCTTTGCATCTTTCCTCATGGTACCAGCGAGTAGAGGCCTCCTAAATTATTGATCGTTTGCCCGCTGTTTTGGCCACGCATGCTGTCGGCATGACCAACAGTACATGTTCTTATGACGACGTGTCTGTTGCAATTTGATTTTCGCGCTGAGGGCATGGTCGTTGTTGTTTCTGGTTTCGCTGCTCGAGGGAGCAGGTCTGCATTTGGTCCAGCCAGGACTTTCCAGATCTAATGCTGAAGCCTTGTTCGATTCAGCTGATTTTACAGAAGGTGGGGTGCGCATGGAAACAAGATTTCGCCCTTTCCTTGCTATGGCGAGACTTGATGGCGCAGCCGGCGAGGGATGAGTCGCAAACAGGCTTCGAGCTCAGTGCTTGCACCAGGCTATTCTAAGAGTCACGAAGACACGAAGACTTTCCAGGTGATATCGCTCCGACGGATGGCGCGCCGTCTTCTGCCACATATGGCGGCGCGCGGTCATCTTCGACTTATACCCGCTCTGGATATCCAGCAGAAGCAGGGCCTACAAGTGCGGCTGCGAAGCCTTTAACATTGCGAGCAGCAGTGAAAGCATGCGACGTGAACAGCGTCTGCCATGCCTTGCTAAAGTTGCAGGGCCTCAACACTGAAGCTACCGAAGCTGCGCTGGATGCAACAGACGGCATGGGACGAACTGTGCTGCATATTTGTGCAGCCAACGCCTTGCGAGGTGGCACAGGCGATGTGGTGAAGCTACTTCTGGAGCACAAGGCCCGCACAGATGCTCGTGATGCGAACGAGAAGAACCCTCTGGACGTGGCGGTGGCAACGGCCGCAACGGCCACGGACGCGGCCACGGCAGAGGACTTCGTTTCAGTGGCGGCCACCGTCTCCTCTCTTTTGAAGGCCCGGGCATCTGCCTCCGGAGTCTGGGCATGAATCCAATGCCAACCAAAATGTGCTACAAAAAGCAAAGCATGCAACCGTATCGCAACCCCCACCTCCCTCTCTCTCTCTGTCTGAAGCGAGCCGAGGAGAGCAGCGAGACTCGCTGGAGACGAGCCTGGCCAGGGCCGCAACGCCTCAGGCCGTATACGCTGCAGAGAAGTACATGGGGGTCCCTGATATGTTTAGATCCTTTTTTGGATCATGTATAGGTACGCCTTTTGAAGCTACGTGTCACATAGACCACACATGAAATGCAGCTGTGCGGTTCATGTTGTGCAGTTGCAGGCACGAAACACAGGACGCGCGACTTTATGTCTAAAACCAGGGTCCAATTAGTCAGACAAACTCAAGTTCTCGATACACCGCGCACCCCACGTCACAGATCTGAAGGCAGAGATCGCCAAAGAGCGTCCTCTGTGAGCCGGGGCCGGGAGATCACAGGAAATCCTCCAGACAGCGCTTGCCACGGCGCGAACTGAAGGTCCACACATACCCTGGCGACTTTTCACGTGACTCGAAACTAAGTCTGCAATTCCGTGGGCTTGTAAACCTTATGCAGCGGGCTCGGCAGTGGTTGTCATGCACTGCATGCAGCAGAGCTGAGCTGGCTTGCGAACTTAATGTTTCCAGACCTCACCCAGCTACATCGCAGTTGTGCGTGTGGGAAGTAACGGTACGGGTTGGCTACGTTGGGTTATCACGACTGTCAGTCAGTCAGCAGAGCCTTTTGATCTGCGGTCGCTGCCGAAGGCCGAAAACGGCTTGGCGCAAATCTTGTCTTTGTTGACACCGCCGCAGGCGCGTCTGCACAAACGCGTCACTTCGTCTTGCGTTGGGTTGGCATCGCCCAGGAAGATGGAGGCATCTTAGCCGAGAAGCTGATGCAGGCTGTTGGGCGCCTAGTGTCTTCCTTTGCCTGGCTGCAGTGTCCGATGACCGCTGCCGAGGTTGATCGCCACGATCCAGAAACTGTCCAGATCTTCGCTCGAATACGCCAACGAACCGACAGCTCCACGCTCTTGGGACAGTGCATGCAAGCGTTGCGCGGCGCAACTACATACCGGTAGTGCTCGCCTCCAGTTTCATGTGGCTCTCCTTAGCCTGTACTTGTACCTCTACCAATCTTGTTGGCCGCTTGACCCACTGTGCACATACCGCTTGAGGTTCGATGCCGATGGCAACACGCTGCTGCACAGATTCGTGGTTGGTCCAAGCATTGACGCAGAGAAGGACATGGACATCTTGCACCTGTTGGTAGAGTCTGCCTCAGACATCAACAACCGAAACTTGCTTGGTGAGACGCCTCTTCTGGCAGGCGCTAGGTCAGCAGCGAGGCTAGAAACGCTGGAAGCTTTGATTGCGGCCCGCGCCGATCCTAGCTCTCCAGATACCATCTCGCACGAGACTGCGTTGATGGAGGCTGCCTGCCGTGGCGATGCAGGACTCTGCCGGCTAATTCTCAATTGCAGAGCGGATGCGGCAGCCAGGAACATCCATGGTTGCACTGCATGGGATCTAGCGATTGAGAACCGGCACAGCGGCGAGATTCGGAGTTCAGAATCCTTTCTAACGCTTTCCGTTGTAGGTTTTGTCCGCTTTCAATTGGCTGACACATAGATGTAGATCCTATGTCCTTGCCAAGCACCTTCTACTCGTATAAGCACTGCAGCCAGTGCATGTTCAGGCGATGTCGTCCAGCTCCTGGCAGAGAACGGCAGCGTACAGCCACCCAGCCTGAACAGCGAAGTGATGGCTGCGGTGAAGGCCTCCGATGTGGATACAGTGCAAAGACTACTGTCGAGTCTGGGAGCACTCGAGCTGGAGCGAGTCTTAACACGTGGAGTGGATGATGCCGGACGGCAGCTCTTGCATGTGTCTGCAGCCCAGGGTGCACAAGAAGGAGCAGCGGACGTTGTGAGACTGTTGCTCGAGTTCGGGGCACCGACCGATGACGTGGATTTTGCTGGCGACACTCCTTTGTCCTTGGCAGTCTTGACAGCTTCGGCCGGCGATGGCGATGACGGTGGCAGTTGGGCGGCTTTGGACACTTGCCGCGTCTTGCTAGTGGCTGGAGCCAGTGCCGATGCTGGCGGACAGCTCTCTGCACCCAACTGCGCTTTGGCTGAAGCCTTTCAAAGCGGTCGCGGCCACGATGTTTGTCAACTTTTGCATGCATTTGGGGCGAACATGCCGTGGTATGCAGTGGCAGAAGCCTCGAATGAATCCGCCGATGCAGATGCGGAGTACGCAGATGTCGGTCATGGCACCTTCGAAGCTCAGTGCGAGCAGGAAGGTATTCCGCTGGAGAAGTTGGGGGTGCTGGGTGCAAAGGCGGTCCTGGCTGCCTGCAGCGGTTGGCGCCAGATGACGGTGAAGCAGCTACGCTCGGAGTGCAGTGATGTCGGAATACCGACCGATGGTTGTGTCGAGAAGGCAGAGATATTTTCGCGACTTCGCTGATCAGTTGGAGCGGCAGCAAGCTTGAGGAGATGCGCTTGTGCTTCGGGTTACCGAGGCGCCTGCGTCAAGTGCGCATTTGGCAGAGCTCCTCTCTGG